CAAGTGGGTTTGCCTAAACAGGATCAATCAACCATCTCTGGGATCAAAACCATTTAGGACTTTACAAAAAATTATGCGAAGTCGCATTTAAAAATTGTATTCGATAATGCTCACCTGACATCTACCACGTTCGTAAACATCCCTCACTCGCGAACTGAGGTGGCGGCATATCAAATAGGTGCCCTAACCAGTAGGACTAAATATCCTAACCAGTAGGAGTGAATATCCTAACCAGTAGGACTGAGTATCCTAACCAGTAGGACTAAGGGCTATGTACAGTTGTTTGTTGGCATCCATGGAGGGAAACCCAGGTATTTATACTTATTGCGAAAATATCCTGAGATATGGGACGGGGGACTTTCGATTGGGTTGCGCGTAATAGTAATACTTTACATATATTCCCCGTTTTACAATTGTTTATGTTGCGGCGCCCTGAAATATTACACGCGTACACGCGTATGTAAACAGTCACCCCTTTCCCCATTTTGTCAAAAGTGTAATTCCTGGTTCTTCACATAACTTTCTTGTCTTATCTTTTATCATGCATAAATTGACCGCGATTAAAATTGTATTAATGCAAACTAAATTTGGTTTTGGTATCAGCACGTCCGCTTATCACCGTATGTTATGTTTACTTTTTTATCAGGCGTTTTTTCTTTACAAAAAATCTTTTTAGAAAAAAAACATGCCACTATTTCATAATACTCCATTGTTTGTATACTGAATATGAAAGCGAAAAAGTAGCTTAGTTAATATAATTTACGCAAACCTATTAAAGCAAGTGCCTGTAACCGTTGTGTTGCTGTCCATATACATTATTGTTATTTTTCTACCCGAACACTCGTTGGTACCAAAAAAAAAAACACTTTTCTTAGCTTGACACTCAAATTAACACATAATTTACGGTATTTATTACAATTATTTTGTCTATTGATACCGGTCTGATAATTTATTTCTCTTTGAAGCTTTAATAGGATACAATGCGATTGATACTTTGCATCATTGTTTTAACGCTCACTACGTAATCAGATTATCCCGACGCTTATCATATCTGACGGTCAAGGGGCTGCGACTATCATAATAATAGTAAATTTACTACAACTGGATTACAAAATGTAGACAGAACTCGTTAACTAAGGCATTATCTTCGAAGAGATGCGACCTCGAATTGGGCATATTCAAGTAACGTAAGTTTTCCATCCATTGCTTCTTATTAGCGTGAAAGAAATTATTGCAAGAATAAAAGTATCGCAGTTACAATTAAGTAATGCAAATGGCCCCAGTGTACGTTGCGACAAATAATTGGAGGACACGAACGGGCAAAGAAACTGGCTGGTTTTAGAATCAATCTCACCGTACAAACATAACGTGAACTAGATGCTAAAATTTTAATAGATTTGCAAGTTGTGTATGATTCAGAATTGGAAATTGATTCAAGACGTAACGTGAGTGAGAAGTTGAAGAAACTTGTACGGTGAGAAGTATTTGTTCTACTTGAAGAAAAAATGCCAAGCAATTGTAGCGTTTGCCTGGATATCCCGAAACGTGAATCGTGGTTTTCGAAAGATTGAATTTTACAAAAGACTGTGTGAGGAAAAGCTCATCAATCCGAAAGTTCTTACTTACCAACAAGTATACTACTGGGCCTAAAATTCTCCGTTCAACAATATGTCACAAATGTCTCTGTCTCTAATCAACTTCTTTCAAGAGCTGGTCGATCAAGGGTATAAAGTCTTCTTTTATCTTGAAAATGACTTCGTCCGCGCACTCGGCTTTCCTACGACAAATAATGGTAGTCTTGTAACTGTTGTTCGATGACATCTAGCCTATCCAATTCTGCATTACATTGGTCTAATTTTAGCTGCAATAATGTTTTTTCTTTAAAAACAGTTTTTATTACAAAAATTCATTTGGCTAATATATAGACGAATATGGTACAAGTTACCCAAATTATGCAGGTTTGATAAGCTCAGTGGGCGCAAGTTATTCTTCAAGGAGACATTTAATGAACTATCCAATGTATACTTATTTACGTAATATTTAATAACTAAAGCATGAGCTAAACTGCTCGACAAGAAAGAGCTTGGTGCGTATAACATAATAGAGCACTTTATGGGTCAACAAGACAAAGATTCAAATAACGCATTCATGCCTGATTGATGATGTTACTTGCTAGTCCATGAATGGCTAAGTGTGACGAAAGGTTTAACTATAATTGATGCCACTAGTACCGTTTATTACTCCTCTAACTAATAATACAGTAAAGTCCTATATATCGCCAAAAAAATCAGAACATTAGCCTTGCGGCTATGCTGTACACTGTTGATGTCATTCATTACTTTTTAAATATACACACATAATTGAGAGACGTAAAATTTCATTAACCTAGTTCAGCCAACAATGACGGACGTGGGCAGTAATTTAAAATAATCGTGAATTTTTTCCTTGGCTTTTAGGTGTCCAGCTGACGAGGCTTTCGACAACCATCCACGTGCGGCATCCCAATTACCGTCGTTATAGTAACATAAACCTAATTTATATGCGGCATGCGTATTACCCTTTTCAGCGGCTTCTTTATAACACTCGAAAGCTTTCGTATTGTCTCTCTCTGTTCCTAGTCCAATCTCGTGGAACCAGCCAACTATGAATTTATGTCTGGAGGACTTTCGAGCTAAATACTGAAACTCTGCAAAAATATCGCCTGGATTAACTTCGTATTTCTTGAGGCATACATTGATTGCTGCCTTGGACTTTATAAATCCATTGATGTAATTACCCTCCACCAGTGTAATAAGCTTATCAGACGACCATTCTTCTGGAGCAGTCGTATTAGTACTTTGCACTATACTCTTTTCGGGGCTTGCTTTGCTCTTATTTTCTGCTAAAACGGACCGTTTTACTTCAATATCATTCGATGTGACTTTTGTTGTACTGTTTTTCTCACTAGCTTGAAGATTTACCAACGTGCTTCTTCCACTTCCACTATCGTTAACGTAATCGTCACTGTTACTGTTTTCTTTTCCATCTTTAACTTCATTGTCATCTTCAACTTCATCGTCGTCTTCTTCTTCTTCTTCTTTTTCTTCATCATCATCATCATCTTCTTCATCTTCTTCTTCTTCTTCATCATATTCTTCATCTTCGCTGAAGTCCCCCAAGTCTAGTACTCGCAAGGTTTGGTGCGTTTTTGCCACTTCTTTGTATATATCATCATCGTCATACAGCTCTTCAAGTCCTAAGCGGGTGATCCATAAGTTTCCTCTATCTCTCGGTTCATATTCGAGTAGATTTTCGATTTGTTCTTTATAGGTGGTGTGAATTTCCCTTGGAAGTTGTTCCAGAAGCCTACTAGCATGATCCTTACGACTTTTCTCTTTACGGATAGCCTCAGCCGTTTCGTTTGCATATGGACATTTACCATTAAGGGCAACTTCATTTGTCAAGTTAGGAACCGCGATATTCATCCGGTTAGAATAAGATCAAAGAGTCAAACACGGAATGTGATGAAAACAAGACAAAACAGCATACCTGACCACATAATTAATCCAAAGGAGTAAATATCTGACAGTTTAGGGAATCTCCAAGTAAGAAACAATAAAATCAGTCACATTCTGACAACTCTTTGTAAATTTATATTCCCAATACTCACTCTTTGAAAAGATTCCGCATAGTCTCATTCTTAACCACCCTTTCGGGGGCAACCCAAGCGATGGTCCCCCCTGCTTTATTACCACGCAACCCTAATTCCATCTTACTAGAGCTAACACCAAAGTCTGATATTTTTGGCGTCAAATTGTCTGTTAACAGAATATTCTCTGTTTTTAGATCAAAGTGCACAATGTTCTGTTCGTGACAATAAGTAAGACCAAGCGCAATGTCATGACATATCTTGGATTTCACACTCAATGGAACCGTGTGAGTCTTGAGATAGGATTTTAGATCTCCCTGCTCAGCATATTCTAGTACGAGAGAGTATGAAGGAGCAGTCTTTATGACGCCGATGAATTTCAAGACGTATTGATGGTCGAGCTGGCAGTGTGCGGTGAGTTCCTTCAGCACTAAGCCGAAGTCAGCTGTATGCTGTAGAAGTGAAACGGTATTTAAAAAAGGTAGTAATTCAATCGTTAAGCGAAAATGGTAAGATTGGAATAATCCATTATTTAAATCACATTAAGACTAGCTGCAATTTCATTATAGCATTGCACCCTACCTTGCTCTTCTTAATAGCCACTTTTACGTTTTGATAAGTACCGCTGTACACTTCGCCCATTGCTCCTTCACCAATAACTTCTCCCATGGAGACGAGCTCTCGTTTCAGAAGCATTCGCTTCATGGCTTAAAAAATCAAATGCAAGGCCAGCTAGTAGAATAAAATGAACTGCTCTTGTCCTTAAACCATCCATACAAACAATGTTTGACCACTTTAGTGGTACAGAGTACCATAATGATATGGTTTCAAAAGTGTTCGTGTTTTTCGAAGTTTTGAGTTAAGACTGAAGATGAGTGTATGTCATTATAGAATATAATGTTTTATTAGAGCAAAGAATGGGGTTTCGGGGCTTCGCCTTCGTCTTCATTGTCGTTGTCCAATCATTTTAGTGGTTAGTAAAGGTCTTATTACTGCTCAGCGAAATGTACTTGCATTTGTGTATGATTTGCCATTACGAGACAAATTAACGAAATACAACCCGCAGTCAAATTTAGAGATCCTGCGGTCGGGGGACGCAGTATATCCGCAGTTGGAAATAAAGTGTTAAAATATCGCCCAACCCCTCCTCCCCATTTGAGTAATTTCCCAAATTCAAAATATTCACCCCTTGGTAAATTTCAGCATGCCTATTGACATACCAGTTACGGTTACTGACGTCGAATCAAAGGTTTTTGTTACCCGAAAGTGGACATTTCCAAACGCTTCACTTACGGGCCAGCGATTACCTCAATTGACATTGTTCGGCACATCACGTGCTGCCGGTGCAACTGCATTCTATGTTCCAGAGTTGGATTTCTTATTCGATGCAGGCCATAAAGTACACTCGTCTCACCCGTCGCATATATTTATTACACACACTCATAGCGATCATTGCCTGGATCTAACGCATCACGTGTCCAAGTACAGACCACCGAACGTCTACATACCTGCAGAATCTCACGATTTCGTGGTCGATTACGTTAAAGCCGCTCAGGCGTTAACCGAGTATAACAGAAATGGTCCGAAGAACGCGCATACACATGGAGTTTCTCCTGGAGATACGGTAACGATTAATAATAACTACGAATTATATGTGACTGAGATGGATCATTCGGTACCCTGCGTTGGATATGTCGTATACAGCAAACGCAAAAAGCTCAAAAAATCGCTCCAACATCTCTCTGGTAAAGAAATTGGAGCCCTCAAGCGGGACGATCCACTTGTAGAAGTTATGGAACCATATACAATGCCGCTGTTTGCGTTTATCGGAGATACTACAATAAAACCATTCGAACAATATAAGGACCTTTTTGCTAATGTTCCCGTAGTCATTACCGAATGCACCTTCTTGCACGACTCGCACGAGGAGAATGCAGACAAGACAAAACATACGTCATGGACAGCACTCAGCCCATTCATAAGAGAGATGAAAACGACGCTATTCGTATTGATTCATTTTAGTTATCGGTACAATGATAGGGAAATAAGGGAGTTCTTTGAATTAGAAAAGCAGAGATGGAAGGACGAGTTTGGAGAGGAATTGAAGAATATTGTCGTTTGGGCGTAATTTAATTAATTTATTAATAATCGTGTTATTTTTATACTGACCATGTGTTTGTTCTTCTTGATCAAAGTTACCGAACACTTGAATTCGTGATTAACATTAGATCGAAGTAAGAATAGTAATAGGAATAACTATCTCTCGAAATAAATATGTTGGCACGAATATACTTGAGTCTGTACGAATTAATGTTAAATAAATCAGTAATTTTACTTGCCATCTCATTCACATGTCGCTTTATATTTACCACTGATAATAGAAATTGTCTCGTACACATGGAACATTTCGTCTACGATTTAACAAAGTCACTTACTCGTATTACCTCCATTTAGTTTGATTGGAATGTGGAATGCTGTATAACTCTTTGATATATTTTGAGTTTAGATTTTAATTTCTGCCTGCAAGAAAGAAAATAAAACTCTGAAATTTTATCAATGTATAACTTAATATGCAAACTAAATAGGTTATTGATGTTTAACAGTTTCCGTTGAATTTTACTCCCTTGAAGCTGGGCTGTTCTATACATGACATTCGATTTGCTTTCCCTTTCCGTACAAATGCAAGGCTTCTTTTATACCCTATCCGATAGTCATGTTACATTCTAACTTTTTCCAGCATCTCGTTTTACCAGCTTGGGCACATTTTGCAAATTTAACAATTTTAGAAAGTTACCTCAACTACTATTTGGCCAATTAATTTTATGCGTTGGATTCTTTAATGACAAATCACTGTAATAAGGATTGGGCTAAATGCAAACTTTTCGAAGTCTTCCAGCATTATTTCAGTGTCTTTAATAACAAAATTGACTTGAATAAATTTGTAAAATTTATATTTATCACTATTACATTCTTGCAAATAAACTAGGTAATCAACTTTCTTTAAAAGGTATTGTTTCTAGACGTGGAAGCCATCTCATTACCCAATTGCCTGAAATACTGGTTTAAAAGCAACGTGGGTTTTTTTTTGGAGAAAAAAATTGCCGATGATTAGAGCAAGAAGAACAGTCGTGCAGTCGAAAATGGTGCATCCCCGGTTTGTGTGCAACTTATTAAGTGCACTCCTCCAACCCACGACTCTTGAAGATTAGATTAAATTAGTATTACTAATACCCCAAAGATTGAGTTTTCGAGGTCTTTACTTACACCAAAGATTGAAGGCGCAGATGGATCAAAATCTTAATATGATTGTTAACATGTTCGTTAATGGCTGACCTTAATATTAAGGCTAATTATCTAATTTCAACAAGCCTCAAAATAATATTATACAATTATAACAACTGCTCTCCACTATATTTTGCGAGTTTATATTATTGTTCTTTAAGGTTGTAAGATAATAAAACTGTTGTTTGTTGTAGTGCATTCAGTGAAATGTCTATTTTACAAAAAGCAGATGGCGACAGTAAATTTAAAGCTTTAGTACTGCTAATTTTTGCTTTAGTAACTATCATTATAATAGGAATTGTAAAGATAACGCGCGGGATTATGAGGTTAGGTAAAGTTGTCAATAAGATATGACTGTATTTGCGCATTCTACGTAATTTAGAAAAGTGAATAGGAAATTTACGGTATTTATTGGTCACACGTACGGAACGATAAATATCCTTACATCCAGTTTGTACCGTAATTATATATCGAATATTGGTCAAGAACACGATCCTGTATTTCTGTTAGTGACTAGAAACAATGTTACTACTAACTTCATAATCCCGCGTTCTCTTTACAATTCCTATAATCATGATAGTTATTAAAGCCAAAATTAATTGGTATTAAATTTACCGTCGGTGAAACGAACTGTACTGCGATTGTCGATGAAATGACTTCCAAAATGAGGTGTTGTAAAATTGCTGATATACCCGTCCTTTTTTGTATATGATAACTTATTTATTAAATTATTTGTCATCAAAAACTATGTATTACTATGACCTTTCAAGCGCAAGTGTTTAAGCAGACTAGTTTAACCTCAAGGTTTTAGACCATTATGAGTACAGCGATTAAGTTGATAAGAGCAAACCGTTAATTGAAGCTTAAAAAGTTTGTACACTGTCGCAATCATTGTTGACACGTGTAAAAATATCGTGTAACGTTAAATGAAAATTACATCCGTTATTATACAGTATTGTAAAGATGACCTTGCTTACTATTTGGAAGGCAAATTGTATCGGTCCAGCATGAGGTGAACTTGATCGAAACAAGTTGTAGCGTGAGCCAGCAGGATATTCAGACCGAGATGTTGTTTCTTTGTTTCTTTGTTTCTTTGAAAAACATTACAAGCTATATCTAGTATGAATAATAATACCCCAACAATCTGCTGATTTATCATGTGAGATACAGAAATATTTGAATCAAATTGGTAAAGTCAACAGGGATAAACGAATGTGGTATAATCTGAAGCCACATGAAAAATTTCAGAAAAAGGATACTTGGGGTGCCCGTTTCGAAACGTTTGACAGATCGACTATGCATTGTCCACAAGTATATATATATGCAAATTGCCACGCTGGAAATCGCGGTTTCACTGTCTTCGGTTATATAATCATAACTTATTACGTAAATAGTTATAATTATCCTTGTTGATTGATCTAGCACTATCCCCCCTACCCTATCACATCCATTCAATAGATTTATTCTACCATCATCAGCACAATGCAACAACAGTGTGCTCAATACCGTTCTCTAAACGTTAAAGAAATATCAAATCTTTACAGCGGCAATGACATCAACATTATCTTTTCATTCACGCTAACCTTATCTAGACTTACTTCATCGTACGCCATCGAATCCATGAGTAGAAATACGATGAGAACGTTGCAGAGGTACCACCCACTACTTCGTTCCAGGTTGATATATTTCAATGAATCGTGGCGTTTTGTCTCTCAGGAGCTGGACGAATCTGATGATTTAGCAGATATAATTGACATACCAATAAGAGATGTCCATGTGCTATCGGAAAAAGAGCTGGCAGTAACGACACAGCGTGAATATTCATATGAATTAGACACTGAAATAGACACATGCGAGTCTCTTTGCAGAATGGTATTAATCACTTGTGATAACTCTTGCAAAGTAGGGGTTATATTCTGTTTCCTAGCGACAGCTTTCGACTCTCGGAATGCCTTTGAAATAACGCAGAACTGGATAAGAGGGTTCCGGTTACAATTGCAACGTGCTGAACGAGAAACATGGGTAATTGTGCCGATGCAAGAGCTCAGAGATGGAGAGAAAAGATCGCTTATGAGCAGCGTAAGCGATAATTGGATATCAAGGGTGGCATTTTTGATAGAAGCACTGATATTTGTCGTTTGGATTCTGTGGGCTCAACCATATAATCTACCAGAGTCCGCATACTCACGTGAGCATTATACCGACGACCAGCGAAAGTCGCATCTGTGCTTCTTCTCGTTAACACCAACAGAGACGGCAAATTTCATTCAATATTGCGATAGAAATCGTGTATCTACGAGCGCAATGTTGACTACAGTGATAGCAGAGTCGATCTCACAAAAAAATGGAAAGAAGCACGTCTTGAGCGAACTGGTCGTAGATCTGCGACCATCGTTGGGCATTTCTCAGCACGTAAATGGAGTCTTCTCCTCGTTAATTTACCTTCGTCATCCGCGAACATCTGGCACGAATAACAACCGATGCCTAATTCGTCGGGCTAAGCAATCACAGAGAAATATAGAACGGCAAATAAAATTTGGCATTGCATATCACAATCTATATTATCTATTGCCTAATAAACCGTTAGAGAAGGGAGATCTACGCAAGAGGGGCCTACTTGTCGGATATGTGCTTGAAGATCTTGGAACATGTAGTGAAAGGAGCGATAACGAAAGTGGTGATACTGAAACAAATAGCAATGGAAAAAAAGATATGCTTAAGGTTGAAAATATGTTTTTTGCAGTTACACCAACTGTAGTTAAGGCACCCCGCATTGAGGTTAGAACATTGATATATGATGACCGACTATATTTTACGTTTGATGCTTGCGCCAAGTCAATTGGCGAGGATGTTATAAGAGAAATTGGGGATATTGTCGTCAAGTGCGTGAGTCGGATTAGCGATTAGATTGGTGGTCAAATAGGAATGATGTGACTGCGAGTTGATAGTTATTAAGCGAGGGATTGATATTTCTATGCATTGTTATCATCTTACGACCTGTTATCATAATAGACTTGTCATTCATAATAGACTCATTCGGCATTCGTAGATTTAAAAGTATAGTAATTTCAGTTTTCAATAGAATAAGTTAATTTGTTATCCTAGAATTGTATAATACAAGACTAGAGAAAACTACATATTAAGAAATGATTTCTCAATATTCTACTCTCGAAATGTTCTCCAAAGAAATTTAACAATATATGAATTAACGGAACATTCAGGAAAATAGGATTGGCTCACAGGAATTCTTTAATTCCAACCTTCTTTACTCTATATAAAAACTAACCATAAAGAGAAAAAGAAATCCTTTATCTCTGATGGACGATCCGGGGGACATTAGAAGCGAGGTAGCAAAAAATTCAAAACCCAGTTCGGGCAAACTTACTTCTAAATTGGAAAGTGAATGTATGAGATGTACGGTATTTGTTACCTGATAAGTCTGCTTGATCCGATTTATCTTGCAAAGTCAACCATTTGAGCTTAGTGTGTTTAGTAATGTATGCTTGTTTTTAATTCGTGTTACGGCACATGAGAGCATGGTGTCCAGACCTCTTTTTGTCAAATGCCGTGGGTAACACAAATTTGCAAAAACCCCGTCGACTTTTGATGACCATACTAATACAGAGATGTGGCTATTTTTGGGATTCTATACTGTTGACTGTGTAGCCTTTTGCCATTGTGATGACACGAGGTCGTGAAAATTCATACCAAGATCGGTTTTCTTACAGAATGATCATACAAATGCACGTAATCGGCATTTATTTCTCATACAGTCGAGACTTGTTGAAGCAGAAAGGCAAAAAAATGTGATAAATTAAAAGCTAGCTACTTTATTAAAGTGTCAGGTTAATTAACTAGAGTGCAAACATGTTGATTTTGCCAACAAGAAACGCATAAAGTTAAACGTCGTCATTGTCATCATCACTTTTTAAATAGTCAATGGCCATTGTAAATTGAAAGTCATGATTTTTTTTTCTCTTTATCTACTATAACTCTTATTGTCAGTATCTCCAAATTTCCAAACCTGATAAGCGGTGCTGTTGTCAAGATCCCATTCGTGTGGAGAAACAAAAACGCGGCCTATTTATTGACAAAGATTATGGTTACACTGTACATTGTCAACTGGATTGGTTGTCGCACTAAATCCCCATTTAGTAATTTGTGGAAAATGTACAAAATGTCCACAAGGGAGCCAGCGTTCTGTCAATATCACAGATTTAGCTTATCGCCCTTCTTCCGTGCTTCTATTTATCAAACTGGCAGCGTTGGAAAAGTTGTCTTTACCATACAAATTCACACTCTCGTTGTTTTACTGTGGGTTGTGACAATCTTGGTTTCTTTAGCAGAGAGATGCAAGGTTGACCAGATATCTTTAATAAAGAACATCGTTTGAACCTGTAGTAATACAGAACAGCCAAGCAGTTTGTATAATCAAAGAGACGCTATTTGTTTGTAATCCTTAAGTATGGCGTACCCTTATCCACCGACCAAGTCTTTCAACCACAACGACCACTATGATTATCCTGCACAAGCACCAAGCCCAAACCCCCCCTCACCTTATGGCGATGGCTATGCTTACCGAGACGGCTACAATCCCCAAAACAACTTGTATCCTCCTAATGCTCCCTCAGATCCCCTATCATATCCTCCGCATCCAATAACTTCAATGCCAACACTGCCTTCACCGAACCAACGAACTCCACCGCCTCTTCAATATCCTCCTCAATATTCTCCATCATCTGCCCGCACACCATCTCCACACCCACCGACGTCTCCTCACCTCCAACCGTCGCCGCAGTATCCTCCTGTCTTAACAACCGGTTTTAATTCACAGCCGGCCTCGCCATATTCTCCTTCTTCACCATATTCGCCTTCCTCGCCATATCCACCTACTTCGCCAACAGGGCAGCCATATGGACGTGAATATGCTCCATCGGTGCACTCGACGAAATCGAATTCGAATCTATCGGCGTCTTATCATGCGTCTCCTCCATCTCCTTCAACCCATTCACGCTACCCTCCACCATCACCAACGCATTCTACTCCGAATGCCATAGTACCGTCACATCCAACAATGGAACCTCGTAAACCAAAAGACAATGGAATAGTACCATCTCTTCCGACAATGGAACCTCATAAACACACAACTCATCCGACCAAGACCGCACCAGCAATGGTTGCCCCTTCATATACAGGTTCGAAAAGAAAGCGCCACAGTGGATCTTCGAGAAAGCATGACGATGACTTTGCGGACTGTTGCTCTGTGTGTGGATGTATACGGTGTAGCTGTACATTCTGTCTCATAATATTTGCAATCATATTTATTTTGGTTGGATTTGTCTTGATTGGATTCGCATCCAAGTTGCCATCAAAGTGTCCATCGTTATGTGAGCATCCTGACATTAATAATGCAATAACGAGTAGTCCAGTTGGGAACAGCACTGGCAATGCAGTGAATGGAGCAAGTCAGACGTGCACTGGAACGTGTACGGTGGCCGTGTATAAGACATTAAAATATTCTGGTATCGGCCTACTGTGTATTGGGATTTTTATGGCCGCATGTGTTGTACTAGGAATGGTTTGTAGAGTTGGAAAGAGTGGTGGGCGAGGAAGTGGATGTTGTTATTGTTTCTGAAAAATCAGAATCAGAGTTGATCTCTTCTGTGTATTATGATAATGCGAACCAAATTATCGGAAATTTGTATCGAATATCAAATTTTAATTCTGGAAAATGTTTTTTCTTTCAACCTAAAATAATAAATGCTTATCCCGAAATACTATTTATTTACATCAACAAAAAAAAACCAGTCCAAACACTATGTCTATGCATTACTAGAATGACTGCGACTTACAAGTTTAATCAGACTGTCGTGACTGAAGCATTCCCGAGATACTCTTGCAATAAATAGCATTCAAGCACTGCCCTATAAACGTTCTAATATCTTTTTAATTTTAGACCTCTGGTATAATGATCAGATGAAATCTTTATACAAGTGGAAAGCGGACAAAGAAAATTTGTTTGAATCGTGCAGCATTGTTATGCGTGTTCATTAATATCTGCGATTCGATAGGAAGAAAATACCAATCCTCAATTTTGGTATGTGATTTGTCATCAATTTAGATTATTAATATAATTAATATAATAATTGCATCATCACACAGTTTTGAAAAGTCATCGGTATGAATGACCGTTTATCTACAAATTGCTCGATACTAATACTTACGCTCATCCGACCAACCAAAAGTCGTAGTAGATTGGCAAGTATAGTCCTTAGACAACAAAGTCGATATAAACGTTTGCCGTCGATTTTATGGTCTCTTTATGAATAGCTAGTCCGCATCGCTCTCTCAAATGTTCCAGATTGCACGTGGTTACATCTGCAATATGCTCGTCTAAATTGACTTTTCTTTCTAACGCTCAAAGACGTGAGGCATACACTTATATTCACTTTGGGATGTGTTTGTGTAACATTTACGTTCCCTGAAAATTGAATTCAAGTAGCACAAGAAATTCAAACTGTAATTGCGCGATATTCGCCCCCAAAAATATAGCAACTTACTTTACCCCCCTATCATAGTCACAAACGCTTTATCACGTGTAGTTGGGAAGATCACCACCATACGTTATCTCATTGTTCCCTGCTTTTAGGATAATACAGCCGTCCTTTTTATTATCGTCCGTTTTCTTTCGTCGTGTAACTAGCAATTATCATAATGAGCACTTGATATTAAGTTGCGCTTTGCTATTAGAAATACGCGTATTACTTGGACAATGATTTGCCCAGAATTCAATTGCCGTATCTGTGTCTTCAGGCTATTCATGTTAATCTTTGCCTTATTCCACGTTCTGTGTTGTAATACAACAAAACAATCAATACCTTTCAGTAATTTTGTGTTAGCCACTATTAGCGTTAACACTCATGCATATGGTTAATTGGGTTACCTGTAGTGCTGACAGTATCTCAAGACTCACTAATCCTCAAATTCGATACGTTATATGTTAACGATTAGACTCTGATTTCCCAGTTGAAGAATGATGACACCAAACTTGCATTTTATTCAAGTAATGATTTTTACTACCAAGCAATGAGGCTTTGCTCTGCAGATGAATATATTTTGTTTATTTAACCTGGATAACCTACAAAACATGCGCTACCTTTTTCGAGTTTGCGTTTGCGTTGTCATTTGGGATATGCATTAATTGCGCCATTGTTGCTCGAATAGCGACGCGAACGCGAAGCCGTCATCATTTCATATCCGACGCAGATATATTTTTTCCAGAAAAATATAATTAATTCGGCAGGCCATTGGGCAGATGATGAAAAGATTTTGTTAGAAAAACTCAATTGGTTATTTCCGTATGTCCTTCCGTCCGTAAATAATAGAAGTTGTCTCTTTCAACCAACATCATTCTCTTGGAGACTATCTGTTACTAACGGCGTTGAAAAAAATAGGTAGATTGTCGTTGGCTTTCAAACAAATGCAGAACCCGGTGAAAATAATCCTAACCAACGCTTTAATCGTGCCCTTATTAATAACGTAAATATTATGCTATGTTAAACGGCGACCATTATTCTACTGTTGGCTTGTATTTGGATTTTGCTAAATGTAGGGTTTCTCGTGCCTATAAAATGCTTCAGGATTTCAAGAAGACATACTATGGCGTTAGTGGGGAAAAAAGTAGCAACAGTATTCTTTAAATAGGCTTATCGACCTCTACTCTTTGTTATTGACAAAGGGAACGTTTTCAGACCACAGTTCAAGACATTACCATTAACACCGAAATTGGTGAATGTTCCAGCTAATAGTATTGCATATGCCTTACAGATTTCAGACCTTCAGTCGGATGGACGTAGATTTGAGGTCGTGTATTAATTGCTGAATTGTAACAGAGCGATATTTACGCGCGTGGTGCTTGTAACCGAAAAATCGGAGTAATACATTTTTATAAAATTTTAAAATATTTGGTTACATTTGTTACGTGGTTATATTGGTCGATTTTGGCGTTTTACATGCGTAGGACGTTAATTCTGGTGTTTTTAGTGTTGGTTGGACCGACCGTAGAGAGAGACCATAGCATAACACACACGTCCGATCCACTACCCTTGAATCATTCACATTACTGGAAACTTGAAATTCGCCGATCCGCACAATCCACGTGCCAATAGTATTGATTAAAAAAATTTTTTGTATTAAAGAATCCAAACCTTTTTTCATCTTTTTTTTTTCTCGCTCATTCTTCTCAAATACGGTTTTAATGCCTATCGCTTCTCCTTCTTCATTTAACTATAAGATTAATGGTAATATTACTATTGTGCAGACTATAATAATGTATAATGGAGTATAATGGCATAAATCAGACTATAATAACACAGAGGAATACGCGATCTCTGTATAACAGGATAAACCAGCAAAATCCAAGGGGGAAATGTCCGAAGACGCTGCTCTCTCCAACAATGGGTAGGGGTTTGTTTTTTTCATTTAATACGTCACGATTCCCATTATGCCCGAGCGAAATGCTAATGCTGTACCGTATTCAATGATCTTTCCATTCATAAACACCGTCTACGCATTCCGTTTTATTACTTCCTGTGTCTATAACTCGGTTTATCCAATGCTCTCAGTTCTGACGTAGAAGTCGACGAATTCGGTCGTATGCTTCGTCGAAATTCACATCGCAGCCCATCAACGTCTAGCAATGAATCTCGTCGCAGCTATAGTAGTTCCTCGCGTCGTAATCGATTATATCGCAGTCGCTCTCGAGACGACCATCGATATAGACATCGTAGACGACGTAGTAGGAGTCCAGATAGATTTTATGACGAAGGGAAGGGAAGGAGGAGTAGTTACAATAGTTATGGGCATGGGCGGACTAGGAAGTATTCGGACAGTGAGGGGGAGGAGAGAAGTGTAGGACGAAGGAGAGCAAGGAGGAGTAGAAGCGTGAGTAGGGAAAGAGTTAGATCGAGAAGGGGAAGTAGAAGTGGGAGTAGGAGTAGGAGTAGGAGTAGGAGCAGAAGTAGAAGTGGGAGCATAAGTAGGGGCAGGAGTAGAAGTGGGAGTGGGAGCAGGCGTAAAGGGAGGATAAGATCGGAAAGCGACAGTAGAGACAGAAATGGTGGGCATGAAACGGAGCGAGAAAGAGATGAATCACGTTATGGAAGAGGACTGGATGGACGTTATGATGTAGGTATTCGTTCAAATTGGTGATATATGATCGAAACCATTGCTTTGACGATTTCCTGGGCTTGATTAACACGCATATTTATCTCGTTCACTTTTGTAGCCATACGTTGCAGCGAGCCAGTATATTGACACAGAATTCTGCACACGCAAAATATATGTTGGAGACCTCAGACAGGTTTCGCACTCGACACTTCACAATGCTTTCTCTCAATTTGGGGAGATTACGTCTTTGACTTTGTTTGAAGACAAAGGGTAAATAGATGTTTTATTCCACATATTATTACTAGTACAACATTTACTCACTACATCTCTTCGTTCGAAAACAGTAAATACCTATTGCTAACACTGGATGTCTTTTATTCTCCATAAAGTTATGCATTCATTGATTATGCAACAGCAGAACAAGCAGCGGAGGCAAGGCGCAAAATGAATGGAGCTCATTTGGGTGGGGGATCTATTTTGGGTATGTAGTAATATAAGGTTATATATGCATGCCGTGATAAGCAAAGTAAGATGAATTTTTCAAGGACAATGCGTAATGTACTCTTACTGTGTCAATTATTTCCACTCGCCCTTTTCAGTAAATCGAGCGAAGCGGCCAGAAAGGAACATTACTGGATTTGGGAATGTCCCTTGGAGCGATGCTGGTGCGAATTTTACCTATTATGTTGCAGTCAGGTTCCTCTTGATCTTTTCGCTGACTTGAATATTTTATGAGAGCAGATGGTAATGCAGCCAAACAGAATGACATCACGTCACCTCGTAATATTGAAGCCAAAAGTAAGACGTTTCAATACTTTCTTCTACGCCCAACCACTTGTGTATATTCTCGATTGCATTCACTATATGATTCCTCACATATTCTCCTTTTTTTTTTCTCTTTTTTTTTTTGTTTCAAATGACCAGCAGCGCCAACAGATCCTAGTCTTCAACTTCCGAAGCGACGAATAATAGCATACGATGATCTCTAACCTAATGCTCAACTCGAATTCTGATGAACATTCCCCCCCCCTCTTCAGTTATCGTCTTTCATGTTTCATAACTAGATTTTAATATTCATTAGACAAGACATTATACATGCCACTTATTATACAAACGTTATAAGGGGTACATTGTAACAAAACCGCAAAAGTGAATTTGTCAAAATAATTTTTGAATTTCAGAATGGCAGTCAGTTATCTCTCGGTGACCCACTTCCATAGTTACATTTCAGTTTGTTTTATTATATTAAACAGTAAAGTACGTACAATACACTCGGTAGCGATTAACTTGCAACCCAAATCATAAAAAGAATAAAAATCGAAAAGATGCTCGAGAAATTGCTTACAGCTAACCATTCATATGTGCCCAACATTGTCAAAGCCTTGGACGGAATAACGCAGAACCCAAAAGAGTATCATAATGGTTAAGAATAGGTTTGGAAAACAGATGACCATGATGCAAGCAGAGTTGGGAATTCGAAATGACAAAGACCAGATGAAAGATTAATCATTGGATTAGTTGCTCAGATAGAGATTACAGTTAACTAACATGAGGAAATTTGCTTTACACTGGGAAGAGTAAGAAACAAAAATTCAACTTGTTGTTTCGAAACTCGGCGCGGAAGACTAGGAATAGACACAGTTACGGGCAGAAACCAGGCAAAGTGAACATTTGGACTATGTAGCTGAAAATGGTTTGTTAGAGGAGTGGGTTAATTTCTACAGAGAGTAAGGGAAGCATATAATCCTTGTGATAACGAAAATCGCCTTCTACATTGACTTTCTGTATAGCCAATTAAACTTGGCGAACAATACTCCATACGAGTATTGGCTTGGCGAAAATGCTCTATCATATAGTATTCACCACTTCCTGGTGGGAGAATAGTATAATCAGCCGCGACATTGAGCAATCTTTTCATATAACTTGGATAACTCTGTCAATAACATGAATTATCGCCCTAGCGCGATAATCAACGGTCAAAGAGAATGAACTTTTTTATTCATTGTTACCAACATTTGAATGTATCTCAACACTTTGCATTGTATATGTTGTACCTCAGTTGGGGACTCTAGACCGAGACAATCGGGTTCTGGACTGAGTGTCTGGGTTCGGAACTGAGACAACTGGGTTCTGGACTGAGACAACTGGGTTCTGGACTGAATGACTGGGTTCTGAACCGAGACAGGTCCCGAACTCAGACACATGAATGTGATATTATTCAACTATCGGAATAAAACTTTAATATTAGACAATGAATTATTAAACATTCGCCGCGAGAGTTAGGCTTTAGTCTTAAAGACTTTCGCTCCTCCCCACGGAAAACTCGCGAATTTTTTGGTTTGAAAGCTTGGACGCTCAATTTAGCATTACGTTATAACGCTTCTATAATGCATAGCCAAGCAATATTTTAGTAGCGAGATAACGTATTCAAAGTCAGCATGTTAAATGGAATTGCTGATAAAGCTCAAAAAACTCGAGATTTTTTCTTTGAATAAGTCGGGTCGAATAACGTCTCTAGCTTTGCTTGCAGTTTGGAAACCTTGTTGCGCGCCGTTTGTAGAGCATCGACGTCGTTAATAACTGATCCTAATTGCTCACCTGTACTGCAATGCCTCAATGAGCAAACCACGCATCAAAGAGGGTATCTTCACAATTTTGCGCTAAACAGCAAACCGCAGGAATCGTCACTAGGCATAAACGCCTAACTTGGCCATACGGAAATTGTGGTTTACCACAAAAAAATCTTTCACTTTCCTTGATTGTTAGAGTAAGCAAGGAAAGAAACAATTTTGAGAAAAAGATAGACGCGACTCATTACGGATACAATGTAAATGCGAGAGCGCGACTGATTATTATACCATCGCTTTATAACTTTGGAACGCGAACCACCATGTCAGTTGAACAATTTATCGATTGTTCGCCGCCAGAAAATTGATCGATAATGTCCACATAATATTGTCTCCCAGAAGACTATAACGGATTGCGTTCTTTTAAGAGTCACCGTTTAATACACTTTTGCCTTACAACAAGAATGTGTTCAGGCGTAACGGCGAATAGTAACAGATTTTTTATATTTCTTAGTCATCGAGCAAAAGCGGTATCAGACAATTCTAAATCAGAATCTATTCCCTCCTTACAGTATTTCCTCTTCTTTCTCAGTCCCTGTTAATTCATTATCTCAACAATTAAATTAATAAAATTATCAAGTTTTTTTAGAACGTAATAGTTGATGACATTCGCAAGACGATGAATTTTATCATGTTTATGACCAGAGTCTTGCAGGTATTTTGTCGTTTGCATTTATAGATCATCGGAATTTAATGTATTGTTGATCATTAATGGATTCAAATGAGCTCTCGCTGCTAATTCTAATTTAAAAATTTTAACGATTGGACTTTTATTGTGATTTCCTTTTTCGTGAATCTCAACAGTAATAATTGCATGACTATATATTACATCATCACTAATTCGTAACCATCTATTTCTATCAATATCTGTTGAAAGATCTTGTTACGTGCACTACATGTACGCCCATTGCATCCTGGTTACGAGGATATCTGGCGTCTTTACCACAGTAGGAGAAATGCTGTATGTTATCGTCTGGCTCTATCTGCATAGCATGCAACTCCAATGCGAGGGATGGTGATCGCTATGGTATGATGATGCCTTTTGTCGCTATGATGATGCCTTTTGCCACTGGTTTTCTCTTCTTCTTTTTTTGTCCGCCCTTTTGCATGCATGGTCATTGCTATCAAAAAGACAAGGGGTTGAAATCCAGTTTCATGCAGTTTCAGATCCCATCCGTTACTTTATTATTGTAATTATTACATGGTCTATACAATCCGCACCGTTTCACAAAACGGAACAAGTGGACAGTTCTTTGTCGCGGGACAGCATAAACATTTCATTCGATGAGTGTCAGCTTTCAATCAGGTCATGACCTATTGGTTATTAGGCACGGCAGCGCTTTAAAGTATCCAATTCGGACAACGTGACTCTGAGTCTTTGTCTATCGAATTGCCATTTTGGTAAAAGTTGCAAAAGTCTACTTGTTAGAATGGAGCACTAAAATTCATCAAGTCGTCTTCCCAGACTAAAAGCAGCTATGGTAAACATGGTTTCTCTGATTTGTCAGGCTCGGTTACAGGCGGGATTAGTTGGAATCTTCTTTCTTTCGGCCGATCGTTATTTCTGCAGGTTGTACCGTATATTAATTCTGTAAGCAATGTTTCAGAGCTGACTTGGCTATCGAGATTATTACTCTCCAATTCTTTTCAAGCGTCATACATTTGCAGATACATTACGGTGAGACTTTTATCTTCCAGATATTTATGGCCTTATTCGCGGCAAATGGCCAAGAATTCTTTATTGCATGAACTTGCTATCAGAAGGACGAATTGAGGAAACTTGGATGCATGTTCAATAAAAGAATATGCGTCGCACAATGAACGCTATTTGTTCGATGCGCAACGTTTAAATCAATTACACAATTAATTGCGAATGTCGTGACCTTGGAGAACTAAGAACTAATTCGAAAACTCGAGGTTAAAAAATAATTTCCATGCATTTAATGACAGGGGTAAAGCTTGTCATTATTGTTTAACTTGATCGCAATTGTTATGGGATGGTACAACCCATAACTTTTGGTATGTATGAACCTGATACCTGTTGCGAAAAGGAAAGTGAAATCGACCTGCTTAATATTAACCACAGTATCCGCAATAAAGCCATACGTTCGTTTCCACGTTCTTTGCGTCCATGTGAATTGTCGTCTTTACTTATTGTTTGTTTATGTTGTCCATACTGATACTAAATGGAGTATCCCCCGAATATGACCCCGCCATACTTGCTACTCGCCACAGTTTCTTAATCTTAACGTGATTACTAATGGCGTGGTTTGTTTGCTCAAATGCGTCACCTATTCGTCAAAACGTCTATATTAATATCTATGGCTATCAATGGAGCTTTACCGGATTTTGCCACATAAACAAGCGAAGCTTATCTATCACACACTGTTTGTACCATAGTAATAGTGGCGTCCGATTTCTAATCTCTACAAGTGTGTGCAATTTCGAAGATTTGAGATGTGCAACAAAATCTGCTGTTCCTTTTCCCCTTTCAAACCCTCTCCAACGTTTAACTTTCTTTCTGGTTGCTATTGTTCTGTCAAGTGATAATATAAAATATTAATATACTAATGAAGTGTAAAAAGTAATATCTAAACCAAAAAATTACAAAGTTCGTTTACTGTATAAACTTGCAAAAAAAATATATTAAACATGAGTACTTCAGAAAGCAACAAACATGATACTGCTACCAACCAAAACAGCGAGAGTACTTTCACAAATCCCTCTACCCCACAAGATGACAAAATAACAGTCTCAACCAGCACTCTTTCCAGACGTATAAGTGACCCGCTAACCACAAAAAGAGACGCTGAATCCTCTTTCATTACTACTCCTACCACCACATCTCCCACACGTCCCGGTCCCGCCCTTACGAGTCCTACGCCTCCTCCCCCTCCTCCTCCACTACCTCCTGATGCTCTTTCTATATTACAACCCTCACTTTCACCCACTTCGTCACCCTCTCCTTCGGGTGGCCTTCGGGGTGTGGCCTCCACCCCTCAACGTCAAGCAGCCAACGTAATTTCCACAGTTCTTTCGCAAAGTCCCACCACTGCTCTTACTGCTGCGTCTATGCGGGCTACTTCTGCCGGCTCTCGCCGTGTGAGACGAAACTGGTGGGGATACATTACGTCAAGTTTCAGATCCATTTCGAGAAGTTCAAAGTTATTGTTGATTCTGGGTCTAATTATGACAATAATACAGGTACGAATGTGGGCGAGAGGCCGTGGCAACATGAAGTGACGACATGTCAAGTTACTTAATGTTTGGTTGACTAAAACCTCGTATTAAACCATTTTATTTAATTGTATCTCTCTACTTAGATTGTTGTGACAACCGTTGTCCTTATTATCTCGCGTAGTCAAGATTGCGACAAACCACTGAAAGAATTTCTTATACTATACGTAATCCGTGTTATAATAGCATGCCCTGTAAATTTATATTTGACATTGAATCCGAGAGATAATAATACACGTTCTGACCAAAGCAATGCTGCTAGACGAGAGCGGTGGGTTGATAAGTAAGTATCACTATTAGATGAACCAAAAGGAAATACTTTTAAAGAGTTGCCCGCTAGGCAGAAACTCGTTATTAATCTGATTTTTCTATCAAGGCTGAAGTCTTTTCTAGATCTTTTTGCAACTCTTTGGTTTATAATCGGCAACTACTTCCTATTTACTACAGACCTATGTCGAAGAACTGCTCCCGCAGTATTTTGGCTATCTCTTGCATGGGTTATACTCGGTTACATTATAATTACAATTCCAATACTTCTTTGTCTAGCAGTAATTTTCTGTCTGCCATGCGTACTAGTTGCAATGAGAATTCTTCATGTAAGCGATGCAGTTGGAATGGGTGGGGCTAGCGAAGATGCAATCTCAAAAATTCCCACAGTCAAGTATAAAGCCCCAGCAGGCGGTGGCGGTGAAGGAGAAAATGACGCTCAAAGACTGCAGATAACTAGTGCCGATGAAACAACAGTTTCTATAGTAGATAATATTGTGCCTGCTGACGAGTCTGCTACAGGACCTAGACCCTCTACACCAAAGAAAAAGAAAAAATTCATATTCTTTAAGAAAAACAAAACGTCGTCTATTCCATTATCTTCGTCCACTCCGACATATCTTACTATCAGTAATCCCGATGACGCAGTGTGTTCTATTTGTTTATCATCATATGAAGAAGATGAAGAATTACGGCACTTGTGGTGTGGACATCATTTTCATAAAGATTGTGTTGATGAGTGGCTAAGGTTGAACAGGCGATGTCCAATGTGCCGATTAGATATTGTTGAGACATTACAGGAACGCAGTGGGAAAAAGAATAGAAATGACAGGGATAGACATAGTTCTGAAGATACGGCAGAAGGAAGTGGGACTAACGGTAGTAGTAATAATGTAGCAGACATGAATGGAGCAGGTGTTGGGACGGGAGAAAATGGCGAAACTTCGGTATAGACGAACTTGGGGGGAGAGGGGCTGTTAGCTGTAAGAATAGGGTTTATTGTGTAGACATTTTCATTCATTTTGCATGGTTTGGAATTTATAAGAGATTTAGTACAAAGCTTTCCTTTATTAGAGTAGTATTGTATTGCGAGAATATTTTGTATAGTTTTCTCTCTCTTTCCACTTATGCTAGTATCTTCCCCTTGACATTCTTCCTCTTCTCCAGATCATCTACGCATAGATCATCTAGTCAGACTATCTTAATACATCTCACTAGCAGTTGATGTTTTTGGTACGTCAGCAAACTATCAGCGTTCGATTCTTGTCACCCTTGTAATAGTCAATGTACGATATCAGCAAAATTAGAAATAATAATTACTCCGAGTGGTAAAGTAAAAAAAAAAAAAAAAAAGTCCAAATTATTGGACTTGAGAATATACAGTTGTGATGTTGTTTGCCATAAATATAAATATTCACCCCGTGTAATTGTGTCGCGTGATCGGATCCGTACTTGTTATCCAAAAATATAGTGTCCTCAATTATCTGATACAGTGGTGTTGAAGTAATATTTGAAATACAAGATTCCCTCCTAGACGAATTTCTTGTGAATTAAGAAGTCGCTCGATACTTTGGTTAAAAATGAAGTTAATATTAATATGTCCGTGGAACAACTCCAGCCAATAGATTAATCTCGAGAAGTTTCGAGCTTTTTTCGTGGAAGCTCGGAAAAGTTTTATAATTTCACGTTAGTCGATATAGTAATAGTAACAAAAATTAAATTAATTACTGTAAAGTTGCATCTCCCGTTTTTTTATACAGCATTTCTTCAAACATCATTGAAATGGTACACAGTGAACCTGGATATAACGAAGTGGTCTGTTCCAGCACTTTTCTTCGCTATATCCAGGTTTCGTTATACTCTTTATAAGGAAGTCTTATTATTATAAATTTCCTATAAATAGCCAATCACGTGACATTACTATTACCCGATATAAATTTTAGACTTAATTTATTGATGACGTTATTTCGCAGACTGCATACTCTGACGTCTTTTTTTAAATGTACTAATTCTCATCAATATTAAGCCAGAAATCATTATGCGACAAATTTTCACTGACTGTCGTGTCGGTACAGCACATCCGAACTGTTTCGCTAAATCGGCTATTTTAAATGAAGAATTGTCTTTTTTTATTTGGCAAATTTCTTCGATGCCCCTAAGTGCGGGCGTTTGTTCTTAACAAGTCTTGTCGCATCATCATGATAAGAGCCATTACAAACATACGAGATTTAGACTTTAAATATGATGTTTCGTGAGTTGGGATGACAAGAATTGTGGTATGCATATTTATTTACTAATTTTACTAATAATGGTAAAATTATCGAAAGTATAAACTTAGTAAAGTTCGTCATCGAAAAACTTTGTTATATCTAATATGCAAATGGACCGATGAGCATCTGAAAATGCAGTCTTCTTAGTTCATGTGCTGGAAACCCGCTTGCTGCAGCCCTGTGTAGATACATCTTTGAACCCTATGCTATTGGTTTATTGGAACAAGGTGATACTTTCCAATGTCGAGAACTTGTCTCTGGTAGCAGCCAGATTCCTTTGATCTCAATGTTCCAAAATCAGCACTCCCTCCACAAGTTGTTGAATGTGTGAAGAAGGCCAAATGGCTGATCAATTGTACATTCCCAAGTCTGGAAATTATGCTGCCATTGATGCTTGGATGCTGAACTTTGGTGGTTTCCAAATGACTGCAGGAAAAACTCATGACATCAAGGGTGGAAATCATCTGATTTGAAGAAACTGGGTCCTCATGGTAACAAACTGTATTTTCTACTCCCACCTCTTTACTTTGAGTCATTCACTGAGAAAACACCACAAACAATCGATCAATTTGCAGTTCTCATTAGGGTGATAATTTTCCATATGTGAATGTGTTTTATGACAATAGATATGGAGTTTTTTTGTGATAATATTATTTTCCTTGTAAGGAGGATGGCATGCTATATCATGTCTTATTAATCCAACAATAGAGATAGTGACACTTAGAAATTATATATGCAAATTAGGAATACTATGTAGCTTACTAAATAAAGATTTGCAATAATACGAAGTAAATCTTCCTGCCTGATGTGAACAATTACGTGTCACTGTATTATAGTTCGCATTATTTGTTGTCGTTATTTGTTGCCGTTTATGATTATTAGAGGATTAGGCGTCACCCCATCAATAGTTAAATCTAATTGCTCTCGTACGATTTCAGCGAACAGTATCCGAATGCTGTACAAGAATTTAAAGCATCTGATAAATGATTTAACGGACTACTAAGACGACACGAATTCTCCCTTCGTAGACGTACCAAAATAGGCCAGAAATTACCCATCGACATACAGCAGAAAGTTGCTGACTTCCACAAATTTATTAAAATATTCGTGCAGAAAACAACGTTGATCCTAGTTGCATTATCAGCCACCTATCTTTTTCGACATGGTGGGAGCGATGACTGTTGATTATAGAGGAGCGAAAACAGTTTAAAGAACAACGGGTAATGATAAAAATAGATTCACTTGCATGCTTGCTGTGTTAGGAGACGGCATGAAACTTCCTCCCATGGTCATATTTAAAGGTAAAAGATTACAGAAGGGAATTACCCACCAGATGTGATTGTGCGAATGAACGAAGATGGATGGATGACGGAAAACTTAATGACATATTGGTTAGACACTGTCTGGGGACAAAAAAAGCATGGTGAAAAGAGGTCTCTCTTCGTTGTAGATTCGTTTAGAGGACATAACCCATAAATGTCAAGAATAAAATCTTGTCTTAGCTGTTATTCCAGGTGGGCTTACTTCAGTAGTTCAACCATTAGATGTATCAATCAACAAACCGTTTAAAGATAAAATGAGGAAGAAATGGCGTACGTGGATGGCGGAGGGTAAATTTGAGACTACGAAAGGAGGAAATTTAAAAAGCTCTGATAATTCTTTAATGTGTCATTGGATCAGGGAAACTTGGTACGATATTCCATGCGAGATTATGGTGAAGTCCTTTAAAACTTGTGGGCTATTATCTAATGATCTCAATGGTACGGAAGACAACTTAATATGGAAGGAAGGTGCTGGAGGGGGGAGGGGGGAGGATGAATTATAATAAATCAGAAATCAGCGAAGTATATGATGTCGATTGTTGATGTGATAAGGGAGGGGTGAGGAGCCAGCTATTTCATAACATTATGGCACTAAAATCTCATCTGCAAGCAGTTGCAAGGTTATGGGCGGCTTATCGGTCACTGTCTGTAGATTGAGGAACGCTATGGCGGCAACCAAGTCATGTCGCAACTGTAGTTTAGGAACACGTACCACCGATCGTATGAA